CACAACAAAAGGTATTTTTTTGACAATAGCTGTAAAAAAATACCAGCTGTAAAATGGCTGATTTGTTACTGCTAACAATGCCACTCATTTGTATAGCTGAATTAATTTCAATAGCTCAGTCTTTCAGCATAACTCGGATCGTGGACAGTAGTCTGACCTGAAGTGGTTGTGTTTGTCGAGGTACCAGCTGTAACATTTAGAGTCGTTGATGGGACTTCCTGCTCCTCGGTTACAGTCTCATTGGATGTTTGGCTGGTCGTTGTGTTCAGAGGAGGGCTACTTGGACTGGTTTTCTCTGCTGTGGGTGTCTGTGGTGAAGTTAAAGAAGCTTCAGTGGTATTCTGTGTAGCTGTTTGATTCTGGGGTGTGACAGCGGTGGTTACTGCACTGGATGATGTTGTAAAGTTGAGAGTTGCATGTGAAGCAGTTGTGGTTATCAATTCACCTCCTGTAGTTTCAGGGACAGCTGTGGTTTCTGCAAGAGGGAAAAAACAGAAGACATTTAGAAGTGATCAGGATGAAGTCTGAGATGCTTTTATTTCCAGGACATCTGTCCAGTAGACAGCCTTGCTTATGAACATTTCACTTTCTGAAATGAGTGACAAGAACAATAGACTTACAGTATTCGCCTTTGACTTTTTTAGCATTACTCAACTTGTAGCCAAAGTTCTTGGTTCATGTCAAAATGCTGATAATTTGATCAAATAGTATTCTGATTATTAAACCCTTTATAGGGAGAGCACATCACTTGCATACCCCTTACAAATGCACCCCACCCCCCACCATCTCTCATTATGTCTGGAAACACAAAACATTTATAACCAGCCATTCAGCAAAGATACAGCTAGATGGCTGTACATCTTATTTTGGCGTTTGACCAATTAGATGAGCCCTTAAATGATAATATTACTTACTGTAAATTAAGTTGAAAAAAATAAACAAACTAACAAGTCAAGAAAAAAAGGTAAAAAGCTAATTGAAAAGTTAATAAGCCTAGCTAGCAATTATATTAAGGTTAATAAACTAAAAAGTATGACAGTATCAGCATTAATGCCTCTGAAGTTATGTTTTACCGCAAAAAATTACTTTCTTTTACTCTCAGTCATCCATTTTTTAAAGAAGCACTTTTGTTATTTTTCGTAATATAGCTACTTGGGCAAGTTGGTGTTTCTTGTTATTACATTGACATCAAAATATCCGTATTTTTTAATTGTTACAAGATGATGAGGTCTTTTCCTGGATTCCAATAACACTATTGACTTGAAATTTTGATTTTCAAAGTATTTCACTGAGTGCCCTATAAATGGATGCCTACTTTACTACAGTTAAAGTTTTGCTGCACAAAGCTAGAAGAAAGGTGAGGCATTTTATTTACAATAAGCAGCAGAGACTTTCCTCTCCTCCAGCTCCTCAGGGGAAGAGCCAGAGCTGTACCAAGTTCTGCTGAAAGACACAATCCCTTTAGCGCACCCTGAGCCGTCCACTGGGTCTCCTTCCAGTGGGATGTTTCTGGGACTGAGTGAGGCATTTCTAACAAATACCTGACCCACTTTAATTGTATATATTGATATTGTTCCTATGAAAACTAGTGGCTTTTATCCATCAGTAATACAACAGGAAATAAGGTGGGGAGAAAAGGGGAAGAAATGCAACTAATGAGCTAGAAATCATGAGACTAAAATCATGAGACTAGAAATCAAACTTTGGCAAACCTGAGTACAAAATCTACTTAAAGTTTCTGCAATACGTCTGACAGTTTGAATGTGATAATATCTCTATTTGAGATAAAGCACATTTTCCTCAAATAAAAACAGCTTTCTCTGGTTTCTAGAGTCTAAATATTATTAAAATAATTATTTTTCTTTACTGGTTGTCATCACCTCTGATTGGTTGATTAGAGGCAGGTGATAAGTCTTTTCTCCATAATGGAAGCAGCTGAGTGTTCTGGGATTTAATTGAGGAACACAAAAGAACCAACAACAGCAAATAATGGTTTTGTTCAACTGGGTTGGATTGAGGACTAGATTCAAGGTTGGACTTGAGAAAAGGTTTTTGCCCCTTTTGTTTATTTTCTCTGAGATGCAGGTGGAAAGAGTTTTTTTTTTTTTAAAGGAAATATATGTGAAATTGAGCATTTTTCTTACCATTTGTCGAAATACACAACAAAAGAGATAAATTAAGTATTAGGTTTTAAATACAGGGTTATGAAAATGGTTTATTTATAGGAAGGAACTAAAATAGGTTGAGAAATAAGAGGCCATCGAAGCAGAAGATGAGTTTAAAGCTTCAGATGAGATGCTTTGTCAAAGCCAGCATTAGGCAACATGGCTGCTGATGATATTCAAATTTCACAACAAATCAACAGATTCAGGCTGTTGATAAGGATTTTGTAACACATCTGAAAGCCCAGCTGTGAACCATGAGAAGAAAATTTGGTAGTTTTCCTCTTGGACGGACACACTTGGCATCTTATTCCTCTCATGTTCATTTTGTGTGAAATTACCAAAACTAACAGTGTCTCAGTGACAAAGCTGCTACACGAGAGCTCAACATAACTATTTCAATAGACAGCAACATTAACCTGTTGTGGTATTCACAAGTCACATCTTTAATTTTGTTCATACCTACATGGGAATCAGTCACCATCTATAAGAAGCTTTGATGAACGCTGGAAATTATTTATCAACAGTCCTGAACATGAACTGAATATGAAACCTTTCTGCTGACTGAGCCATGCTACCTCCAGCAAGCTGTCAGAACTTCTCTCTTCCTGTTTGCATACATTTGCATCTTTAACAGGACCTAGAAATAACACTCTGCCCCGGACATTCGACTTTAAAATTCAGCAGTCAGTTATTTGAAGTTTTTACTTACCACTGCAGATCGTCACCGTGACAAGGGTAAGCAGGAGAGTGAGGTACATCGCTGCAGGCATGTTGAGAGAGGAAGTGTCTGGCAGTCGGTCATATCAGTGACTTTCACGCACACACCCACAGGCTGCATCCTTGACAGCAGGATATGTTCAATGTCTGACGAAAAGCATTGCTCTAAACGCGAGCTGGCGCATATCAGATGCTCCAGGCTGGTCAAATATTTGAACAAAGTGGAGTGTGTTTATTTTGCTGCTGACAGCTTGGAGATCGGTTTTCACTTTGAGCCAGTTTTTACAGATTAAAGGGGCTTTGAGTATTTTTTTTTTTTTTACATTGTTCTTGCTTCAAGTTGGTTTTACTTCCTAGGTTTTTTTTTTTTTCTTCATTCCTGTAGTTTCCCGCCTGAGTTCTCATTACCAAACACACATCACCTGTTTATGAACGTTGTTTCATTTCCTGACCTCAGTATAGTTTTAGGGTTTCTTAAGTCACTAATAACAGATGTTTTCTGTTTTGTTTTTTTGCTCAGATTTGTTGCAGTTAGGTTGTTAAAATTCGGTGTTAAAAAAATTCAGTGTTTAAAATTCGGTGTTAAAAAAAAGGCAGATTCCAATGAGACTGTTTTTCTTCCATATGTTTCTGTCTGACCTAAATAAAGATGTTTATTTCCAAACCTTTTTTAAACACCAACATGCCTCATTAGCTAAAGGAAAAGTCACAAACAGGATAAATACCCACTGCTGAATATTACTATTACATCCATATTATACTAGTTTATTAGGATGCTTAAAGCTGGCAGCAGGGGCGTTCAAAATTCGGCCCTGGGGGCCACATGTGACTCCAAGATTGATTTTGTGCAGAGAATGATCCAAATGTTGCCGGCCACACAGATGCTTGACTGTAAATGGACCAAAATGTTTACAGAAAAACATAAAATCTTCCTACAATAAAAGAAATACCTTTTAAAAACCAAGTGATTTGTATGTTCTTTCATTTCACAGTGACTACGCATTCGTCTATCCACTGACTTTTTGCTTAAAAATTATACATTTGTACACCTACATATGTTATATCTATAAAAATAAAAACACACAAAGCATTTTAAGATCCTGTCTTTATTAATAAGAATAGCTACAGTTTGTGTTTATATTTTTCAATCAAGCCCAAAATAATCTGCAAACTGGATGCCTTTCTTTTAATAAGATAAATGTATAATGATTTACTGATCTCTTTCTGGTACTTTGATCAAAAACAGCATGCCTCGGTTAATATAGTGTTGAGCAGGTCTAATATCAATAAATGCTTGAGATTTTAGTCTTAAAAATAATTATGTATTATTCTGGCCTGCAGGAGTTTGGCCCATCTGACAGAAAGTTTAGACATCGTTAGTTGACCGCTAAATAAAAACCCAAAATTAAGTTTCTCAGGAAACTAGAATATTGCATTGAAAGAAATAGTTTTTAATACTATAATATCAGCCTGCTGAAATGCATACTTATGTACTATTCCTTACATATAGGGTTAAATGATGAATTCAATATTATTCGAAATGAGGCTGTAACAGCTAAATGTGGAGAAAATGCAGCCCTGTGAAAATGCGCGGTGTTTGGATACAACATTTTATGACCGTTTGTAATAACCCTTCTTCTCCTTAAGGAGTTTGTCAAGGACCGTTGAACTGTCAGGTTCCCTTGATTCCCAATAATAATGATTAGATCTCCAAAGCTTTTATTGCACGCTTCAAATTTTCTGAAGTCAAATTTTAAGAGTTATTAACACTCAAAAGCAGTAAGGCATAGCCAAAATCATCTGAAATAATTGATACATCATCTATAAAGTTTAGGGTTTCTTAAACCTTATAGGGATCAATTTACCCCAGTTCATCATAACGCTAAAGTTCCCTGAATGGCTTCCCAGATTTACACAAAGCCTTATAACTGAGGAATTACTGCAACTTAAAATAAATGAAAACCATTCTGCGTTATAATTGACAGATGTTGGACATAAGCTTTTGCTTTAGTTGACCTTTTACTTTTCATGTTCAGGTCCCGCAGCCGTGGACACGTATTTCTAACATTCTTCATTTGTAAGCAGAACATGATGATAAAATTCAGACAAATTTAGGGAATTAAAAGTTTATTGTTTATGTTTAAATAGTTCCAGGGTACAACAGGAATTTTACACAAGAATAGATTTTTTCCTTATCTTTGTACAAGACTCATCAATTTTTAAACGTCATCTACAATGACTTTATCGATTTCTGTCTTTAATCAGCTTTCTGAACAGCACCGTATCTGATTACAAATGCATGAGAAAACAAATAATTTTGTGTAGGTTTTTAGAAATACATTTAGGTACTGAAAATAATTATTTTTCCTCCATTATTAAATCAATACACATCTACTGAAAACATAATAATTTATTGGTGAAAACATTCTCTTTTTTTCAGGAGCTGAGCTGAAAACACACTCAAATATTTTCCCCCTGAGGATTTAAGGTTATATCCACAGTTTATTTGTCCATCATATTAGACTTAACTATAACAAAGACTGATGAAGAATCATTCAGCAGTAATAATTAGGGATAAACAGATTATCTGGCACAATGAGGTGTAGTACTGGGCCACATATTAAGGCAAAGGTTCACACAGATTAACATGATATGAAAAACCGTTTCATAACGGTTCTGATTCTTCTATTAAAAAAAAATCCAACATAAACAGGGTGTACCACATCAGCTTAAAGCTTTCAAGTTTAAACAACTTTCCACTCAATCACAAAAATCGGATAAGCAGGATTTTAACACTTTAAAGTGCAGCGGCCAAGGGCAGTGAAACTGCTTTTGTCCCTGAATGTTCCAAAAGGAGTGAACATCTTTCACGAGAAATAAAAAAGAGGGACCTTAAAGTTTTTCAGAGCTTCTACACCTCAGTTTAAGAAACATACATCTTCTCAGACAGATGGACACGGGATCACAGCGCTCTTCAAGAGGAGGAAGTCTGAAAATATCAAGTACTGTTCTGTATTTGATAACCATCACAGCTAATGAAGATCCCTACGTTTTTTCCTTCAGAGGTTTGGGAGATGTGAGCTCTTTCTGCTGTGAATCCACAGAGCTGCTGTCAGATGTAGGTTCAGATTGCTGGCTTTCATCCTGTGCAGCACATGAAAAACAAAAGGCATCCATCAACATCAGCAACGTGATAAAATAACTGCAGGAGTCAATATGAACTGCTTGAGTAAAACATTAGAATAACTGCAAATTCATGCCAGCAAAGCTATTTCTGTATTTGAGCTGCTGTCACACTGATGATTACATATTTCTGCATGAAACTAGCCTTAATCATTTAAGCAGAGCCCTTAGCAAACGAGAAAATGCAGTTAATTCCTGATTAATAGAAATAAAATCATTTTCCTATATTTACTCTGTTTAATAAAACCATAAAGATTTTTTGGTGTGCTGGGAGGATTAAAAAAGGCAGCCAGAGTCCAAAGGAACTATTGACAAAAAATAATTACAAAAAGAAAAAGTAAAACGTTTGACTTGGAGGGGAAAAAAGGACACTTACTCTGTGTTTCAGATATGAGAGGTAGGTGTCCCACCCTAATGTGATAAAATTGATGTATACAACACGGAATTTGGGCGATAGAAAGTAGAAGTTGATCGTCTGAGCGGCGGGCCAAACGCACCAATCCACCTGTCAGAAAGTGAACAGAACAGCGAAAACTATCAGATGAACAGAGCAAAAACCATAAAGGAGACAAAAGGAGAGAGAAATCCGATCATGGCACAATCAAAACAAAGCAGATCGAGTTGTATTTGCTCTGTAAAGTATAGCTGGCAGGCGAACAGCAAAGATTTGTGTATATTAGGGCTGCAACTAACAATTATTTTGCAAATGAATTAATAAGTTGTTTATTTTTGTTCGATTAATCTATTAATAATCGGATAACCAAAGGTTACTTAAAGCAAACTTTAAAAAAAATTAAACTAGGTGAAACTAAAACTTTTCCACTTGAGTTCTGAATAGAGCATATTGACAGATGGAAAATAATTTTTTAAACTAAAAGGAAAAAGAATAAAAAAAAATTTAAACACTCGGGATAAAAACACCTCAAAAAAAAGGCCCCTCTCACAGCCCCGCGCACATTAGAGACTCTACACACCACAGAAAAAGAAAAAGAGAACAAAAAAAGAGGACAAGAATATCAAAAAAACAGAAAAAACAAGAAAAACAAAAAAAAGTGTCACACCAAAAGTATAAAAGACACAAGAGAAAAAAAAATGATAGAGAAAAAAAAAGTTTAAAAATCAAACAAAACAAATAAAAGGAAAAAAAAAAAAAACATATATAGGAAAAACACCTGTGAAAAAAGATTTTTTTAACATTTGGCAAAAAAAAAAAATAGATATAGATAGCAGCAGTTCAGTTATTAACTAGCCTTTCCATCATTTTTACTACTAAT